TGTGTTTTTATTTACATACATTTATGTATGAGTTCTTTACATACTCTGGAATCTAAACCTGTATCAGATATATGATGGGTAAATACTTTCTCCCATTCTGTGGATTGTCTTTTCATTTTCTTGATAGTTTCCTTTAACACACGGATATGCTTTTTTTTTATGTTTATTTTTGAGAGAGAGAGTGTGAGCGGGGTAGGAACAGAGAGAAAGGGGGACAAAGGATCTGAAGCAGGCTCTGTGCTGACAGCAGAGAGCCTGATGTGGGGCTTGAACTCACAAACCATGAGATCATGACCTGAGCCGAAGTTGGACACTCAACCAACTGAGCCACCCAGGTGCCGCCACACAGGTATACTTTTTAAATAAGATGACAAAACTCAGGCACAGAATTGGAAATTGATTTTACCAAGATTTAGATAGTTCTGCTGTGTTTATTAAAAGGAGTCACATAATTTATTTTACACTGAGTATACGATGATGAAAATCAAGTTCAAAAAGGTGTGAGTGATGGTTTTATTGGCAAAGTTATGATCTAGAGCTAGGGTATGAAGTTATTTCAGCTGACAGATTTCAGTGTTTTCCTTACAACTAAAAGCTTTCATTACTAAATTAAAACTTTACTGCAGGATATCCTACATGTGGAGCTTTAGTCTCAGGCCTGGAGCAGCAGTGAAATGGAAGTTACCACACCATTCCAGTCCTTGGACATCAGTGTATTGTCCTTCACCTTCTACCCTGCAATAGAGAAAAGTAAGTTTGTTCGTTAATCAAGACCAAGAATTTACAGTCCGGAAAGAAGATTGTCTGGCATATTATACTTTATGCCTAAAAAATGGTATCTTTCCACTTTCAAACTCTGATTTAAAATTCAGCATCCTAGGGGTGCCTGGGTGTCTCAGTCAGTTAGGTGTCCGACTTCGGTCCAGGTCGTGATCTCATGGCTTGTGTTCGAGCCCCTCATGGGGCTCTGTGCTGACAGCACAGAGCCTGGAGCATGCTTTGGATTCTGTGTCTCCCTCTCTCTGTCCCTCCCCCACTCACACTGTTTCGCTCTCTCACAAAAATGAACACTAAAAAAAATGAGGGGCACCTGGGTGGCTCAGTTGGTTAAGCGTCCGACTTCAGCTCAGGTCATGATCTCACGGTCTGTGAGTTCGAGCTCTGCATCGGGCTCTGTGCTGACAGCTCAGAGCCTGGATCCTGCTTCAGATTCTGTGTCTCCCTCTCTCTCTGCCCCTCCCCTGCTCATGCTCTGTCTCTCTCTGTCTCAAAAATAAATAAAAACATTTAAAAAAATTTTGTAATGAATAAATATAATAAAATTCAACATCCTAAAAAAATAAATAAATAAAAATCAGCATCCTGCTTTCATATCCTACCAAAACCATTACTATTCCAGACATTGCCAGTATACGAATTTCGGTGTAAATCCAAGATTTTAGGATCACATACACTAAATTTACATAAAACCAAAATAATCAGTTAAAAAATGAAAAGTTCATATTAGTTCATTTATTTATTCAACAAATATTTATTAACCATCAACGATGTTTGAGGTGCTGTGCTCTATGTGGGTGTTTTCTTGGACTCTTGGGAGTGGTGAAAATGTACTTCACAGACATAAACAGACCTTTATTCCATGGTTAGATTTTTTTTCCCTTTATTAACATCAGTGGAAAAAGTCTGTGTTGTTATCGGAGTCAGAATAGGTGAACACTTTTCTGCCCACCTCAAAATGTACTTATATCAACCATTTCATAATAATTAGGTTGCATTTCAATTCTGGAAATAAATAAAGCAGTATTTATAAATGAACATGAGCCTCTAGACGACACAGTATGGTGTTCAGTGTGAAGGTTAAGCTTATGAAACTGTGCTTATGTTTCATTTCACTTGTAGTTTTCCTTTAAGCATAAGCTCAGAGAGGACAACAGTAGGTACATTTCTACAATTTGAAAACTAACTAATTTTGCTTACATTTTAAAAACTAGCTTAGTAAAAATACACATATATCAGGTCAAAGGCAATAAACAATTATGAAATTATTCCCAAGGCTGCTTTTTAAAAAGTTTATCAGCACATCTCAAGTGAAAGTAATTTTTGGCCTAAATTTTCTCTATAATTATTATAAGCTTTCCATTTCCAAGCTGACTGTAAAAAGTTCTATAGGAAGAGAGTTAAGAGGAAATAAATGAAAAATCTAATAGATTATCACCAAGAATGGGATTTTCTTTTGGAGGCTCATAATGGTCTTAGCCTCTCTTATAACATTCTGCCCCCCAAAATAACCCAACAATTCTTTCCTTTTTACTTTTTCTAACCCAAGAATTCTTAATAAATATATCTTAATGAAATATATTACAAAAGAATATTTAGCATTGACTAAATATAATAATTAAGCAAACATGCCTGAAAAGAACCTTTTAGAACTACAATGACTTTTTATTTTAAGCTCACCTATTTTCATTGAAGTTTCCAGTATACTTTGCCCCAGTTGGGAATGTGTAAGTCCCCAATCCATGAAACATATTGTCCTTAAAGTGTCCTTCATATACTGCTCCTGAAAAGTGCTCAAGTCTTCCAAAACCATTCATCTGTTTGTGACAAAGGAAATGACCTCAGTAACTAATATTCAGTTTCCCTAGAACACTTCAAAAAGGCACATATATGTCTATCATCCACTTAGTTATTATTTAATCTATCATTGTATCACCATTTCCACAAAAATTAGACAACATTTACCATTTATCATTGTCCTTTAAATATATCTCTCCCTGAAGCCCACCAAGTCAAATGTTCCTGATCTGGGGCATCTGAACATCTGGGGGGGGGGGGGGCCATGATGGTGAAAATAGGGTCCTCAAGATATCTTGAATATATCAAAAATCTTAAAGGACAACCAGTTTAGTTAGCCCAGGAAACAGTGCAAAAAAGTTGTTAGGAACAAACATTTGTATTCAAGCAGACCTGAGTACGCATCTGGTTTCATCACTCACTGGGCAAGAAACCTGAGCTTGATTTCCTTCACTTATAAAACAGGAACATTAATAGTACCTACCCCATGCTGTTGCTGTGAGGATTAAATGAGAAAATTCTGTAGTGAGGTTAGCCTTACCCAGTGAATAGGAGATGAGAAAGATCATAATAAAGATGATAGGGTGCCTTGCTGGCTGGGTGGGAGGAATAAGTGACTCTTCATTGAGTGGGGGGTAGTAATTGTGAGTTCAAGCTCCACAGTGGGTATAGAAATTACCTAAATAAATAAAACTTAAAAAAAAAGATAATAAACACTGTATGACTTTAATATTACTCCTATGTTTGTATCAGTTATTTGTACTGTGTAGCCTACTCACATGTGCTTTTGATTAATGGTGAAATGCCAAGAATCATGTAACCAATAGACTTACTTATCCACTGTCAGTATTGAAAACAGCAATGATACCTTGTCATCTTTCCAGCTTCCTGTGTAGACAATCCCATTAGGAGTGGTATGAATACCTATTCCATTTCTCTCAAAGATTCCAGAAGATGTTCTTGTACAGTCACCATCTAAACAAGAGAGAAATATATTGTGATCCATTATGAATGGGAACCTTATTTCACTAGGTAATAAAGTATTTATGTTCAGGACTAATCACAGCTGCACCTTAAGGGTCTCTGAGTCTAGCATTGAAACCAATGAGACCAGAGATAAGGAGATCCATGGACTTGGAAGGTCCTGTGTTGTTGTTTTTTTTTTTAAGTTTATTTATTTATTGAAGTAATCTCTACACCCATCATGGGGCTCAAACTCACAACCATGAGATCAAGAGTCATATGCTCTTCCGACTGAGCCAGTGAGGTACCCCTTAGGAGGTCTTGTAACCATTGAAACAAACCAGCCAGGAAGACTGATAGATCCTGTACATATGTTTCCAAGGCATACTGTCTAGACTTAACATTAGAGTTTAAATTTAAAATCTATCCATCTATTTGTATTTCTATGTTGGTTTTATTTAATGGAGTTGATATCCCAATAGTAGTTTTACAAAATTTACAGTCTCATGATGCTGTTACTCTTATGCTATTTAATCTTAGTCTAGATAGAAAAAGTAATTGAAATGTATGCTTACCATACTTGTCTCCATTTGGAAATACAAAGTTTATCTTATACACTTCTGCAGCTGTTTTAAAAGATTTAAGAAACATCACATAAGCTTACGTATTTTTATGTCAGAAGACCTATAACAAATGTGCTTTAAGAGCTAACCAAACAGACTCACTTCATATGATCACAAGCATATCATGATTTCCAGTGTCTACTGCAAGATCTTGGGGAAATAAATAACTTTGTCTAGATGATCTATTTTTATGTGTTTATTATAATAGCTTTATTAGTATATAATTCACATACCAGAAAACTTACCCTTTAAAAGTATATAATTCAATGTTTTTAAGCATATTCATAGCCATGCAACCATCACCACAATCTGACTTTAGAATATGTTAGCAGTTAATCTCTATTGCCCTAATTTCGACTCCCACCTCTTCTCTACCCCCATCTCCACCTCACCCCAGCCCTAGCCCCAGCCCTTGGCAACCACTGATTTACTTTCTGCCTCTATGGATTTGCCTATTCTGGACACTTCATATAAATGGAATCATATAATATGTGGCCTTTTGTGATTGACTTATTAAGCATGTTTTCAAGGTTCATCCATGTTGTAGCATGTAGCTGTACGTCATCCCTTTTTACTGCCAAATAATAGTCCGTTGTACAGAAATAACAGTTTGTTTATACATTCATCAATTGGTGGACAGTTCGGTTGTTTCCAGTTTGGGCTGTTATGAACAACATTGCTATGGACACTCATGTATAAGTTTTTGTACAGATATATGTTTTTCTTTCTCTTGGGTAGCCTATATGACCTATTGATGCCCTCACAAAGGTAAAATGGAGTGAGGAATTGGCGAAAGGAGGGAATAGAAAATGAAGATAGTAAATGATAGTGGGGAGAAGTAGCAGTGAAGGTGTCTAAACAAAATGAGATTGGAATGGAGACCAAGTCAAAAGAAAGAAAGAAAACCAGAGAACTGAGGGGAATCAATGCATCAAAGCACAGGAGTATTTAGTGGACCAAATCAGTAGAAATTATTTTTTTCCATTACCAAAGAAAACATACATGTAGAGAAGATAAGTAAATTTTAACTTCTAGGACAATAGAGTCTACCAGAATGTTACTCAAAATGTGTCTCGTGCATCAGAATCACCTGGGATGCTTGCAAGTTCCTATACTACTGAATCAGAATTTCTATGGGTAGGGCAAGAGAACTGATATTTTTAATTTAAAAATTAATTCAGGAGACGCCTGGGTGGCTCAGTCAGTTAAGGATACAACATTGGCTCAGATCTTGATCTTGCAGTTCTAGAATTTGAGCCCTGCATTGGGCTGTGCGCTGACAGCTCAGAGCCTGGATCCTGCTTCAGATTCTGTGTCTCCCTCTCTCTCTCTCTGCCCTTCCCCCACTTTCTCTGTCTCTCTGTCTTTGTCTGTCTCTGTCTCTCAAAAATGAATAAACATTAAAAAAAATTTTTTTAAATTAGTTTAGGTGCCAATTGAGAAATACCAGAGATTCATCCCCTTTGAGGAAATATAAGAAAATAGGCAGAAGACTTTAAAATACTATAACATACTGTAAAATACTGTAACAGAGAGAAAGGGAGAGTCTAGTATCCTTAAGACAGAAGAGGTGGTTATGAAAAAGAACCAATTAGCAATCTAGGAAATGAATTACGTAACTAGTGTAAGGACTGAAGAGCATAATGGACACAACTGAAAAGTAAATTGGTGAACTGGAAAACGAGGTTGGAAATTTATCCCAGAAAAAGGCACAAAGAAAAAGACAAGTATTACCTGAGCAAAGCCTGTCTGATCTCCCTTCGCTCCCAGATGCATCTGGGAGTCTCCACAGCACCCTGGGCTGATCCCTACCATAGTACTTAGGACCCTAATAAAATAACGCTTTTGTGGTGGAACCCCCTATCACAATACCCAGCTCATTTAGGATAGGGATCAGGGATTAGTCGAATCTTTGTTCTCACTCTAGTGACTAGCTCAGTGCTTAGTATTTGCTGGTAGGAACTCAATGTCTAGTGAATGAATAGCATTTGGAAAGCAATCGCTAAATGCTTATTAAGCAGAGCGCTTAACTTGATCATACAAAAAACAGAACTGCCTTCAAATGCCCTAAAACATGGTTCCACATTCGAAACTTTGTGATGTTAGAGCTAGAGGGCAACCTAAGAGATGGAGACCATCTGGAATCATGGAGGAAACAAACCCAGAGAGGATGGCACTTGCCTAAGATGTCACAACAGCAAATCAATGGCCGAATCAGAGCTAGAATCCAGGTGTCTGATTTCTAGGCCGGGGGAGGGGGGTCTCTGCGCCCCCACGCCACCAGCTGTGTAGGACCGTCAGGAAATAGTCACACCCACACCTGAGCTACCACCATGAAGCTATCTGGCTTCATGCGAGTTCTACTTAAAGGTGCCCTTCCCCGCTCAGGGCGTTGGGAGGAGGGCACTTACTTGACAGAGGTGTGTTGCTAAGATTTTCTTGACTCGGCGATTCCTCCTGGGTAGCCAGCTCTACGGCCTTGAAGGAACCAAACGCTTACTCAGCGCGGACCGCGACTCGGTTGCCGGGGCGACCAGGCACCTCTCACCCGGAAGCGAATAGGCGAGGGGCCGAAGCTGAGCCAATCGGGAGGCAGCAGGCTGTGCAGCTGCAGCCGGGCCGCGGCTGAGCCGCTCCAGGTGAGATCGCGGTGGGTGGCGAAGCCCTGGTGGGACCCCTCAATCCTGGGCGCTCCTTCCTGACAGCCACCCCGGGAAGCAGCGCTGCCAACCCGCTACGGCCTCCCTTTCCGCGGGCAAGGGATGTGTGCCCGTGTGCGTGGTCTGCGCTCCGCCCTGGTTGTCCGTGTGCGGATCCTTCTACCGCCTCCCTCTCCGGGGGTGGCCAGGGTCTGAGGAGCATCCCGCCCGGCGGGATCCACCCTGGCTAGCTGGGGCCGGTGAGTCTGGACCATCAGGATTCCGGGTTGTCCACACCCCGGCAAGAGGGGGGGAGCCCAATTCAGCTCAAAGAGGGGTAAGGGGTTGCATTGCATCCTGTCTCCGTCACCGTCTCAAACTGAGTGGCTCATTGGAGACGATGTATGCTGGAAGAAAGGTACCAGGTGCAGGTATCAGCGTGGAGCCGGATATATGGGGTCAGTCAGAGATTTGCCTGGGAGCGGAATGGTGTGTGATCAGTTTTCAGTGCCCCGCTGGTGATTCTGTTCCTGGGGGCCTATTTGGGGTGTGAAACAAAGGATACTCTTTGAGCCAAACTTAGGTCCCTGTGTCTACGGTGTAGAAAGATAGTTGGAACCTTCCCAGGCTAAATGGAATAGAATAGTGAGGTCCATCCATGTAGATTATACAACCTAATTCCCATTCCTTTTCAAACATGTGGGCAGAGCCCTATTGGATATAGCCAGCAAGTTTTCCTTCAACATTTTGAGAGCAGATCTCAGATCAGGTAAGGGTGACATTTTCTGGGTTGGTATGAGACAAGTTGTTGATCGTTATTTAGGCGAGCTAGCTGTGGCTTGGTCTGGTTGGCTAGCCACTCTTCTTTTTAAAAATCAGAGGACAGTCTCTTCTTGCTTTTTTTCCCTAATGTATTTTACTACACAGATTTACTTGGTCTGGGTGGTTTTTGAGCTGAAGCACTGATCTTTCTGTCTGATTTGTATATCCTTTCCCTTTTCCTGAATTTTAGAAATAGTAGGTAATTATTGATGTGCAAGTTTATAGCATTCAGTTTGTCTCATTGTTTCGGCCTCCCGTTAAGCTTTTAATGACCCTACATTTTTGTGAGTATATGTATAAGTTTCACCGTTTTTACAGAAGAGTTTGAGAGTTATGATATTCTTATCTAAGGATCTGGAGTCAGAGGAAACTTACAGTGAAAGGATTTTAAAATTTGGATTGGAAAAGTGTATTAGTCATTTTTTATTGTCATACTTTGTTATATTTTGACACACTGGGGGCCTCGCTGACCAGGAAGAAACTGCCCTTCCTAGGGATAGCTAATTAACACCTTGACCTGTGAACACACCTCTCATCTGCAAACCAACCCCCAACCACCTACCTCCTTTATCTAATTTTTGCACATCAAGCCAATTCCTCTCTTCCCTGAAATCAACCCAAGGAGGGACAGCCCCTGAGCCCCAAAGCCTGCTGGAATTATCTTACTTAGCCAGTCCTAAACTATTTACTCTGTCCTGCCTTTCTGGCAGAAACCCCAAGAAAGGCTGTGCCTTCTGCCTTCCACTGGCTCCTCTGTGCCTCCTGACTGACACCGCTGTTTCCTCCTGTGGCCTGGCCTGGCCTGGCCTGGCATGACATGCCTCTCTCCTTCCTGGCCAAACGGTGAATAACATTAAACTTTTCTTTCAGTGACATTGACCTCTCCTTGTGGTTACTTTTATAAATTAAGACCCAGGCACAACTCAAAGGGGTTTGGTTTATCATTAAACTTTGAATTGACGATACAAGGTACATGCATGTGGTGAGCAGGAGGAGATGTGGCAGAAAGAATTTGGGCTTTGGTGTCAAACAGATTGTTTCAAACCCTGGCTCCAGACTTTGCTGCTAGACATTAGGTGACATTAAACAAGTCATATAATTTATCTATGCTCTAGTCTCCTCCTCCTCTATGAAATATAGAAAATAATATTTACCTTACAAGGTTTTTAGAGGGTTAAATGAAATCATCTTACGTTTCCCCTCGATGCAAACTTGTGTATTCAGCTACCTTCAACATGTCTCCATTTGAGTATCTAACCGGCAGCTCAAATGTAACATATCCAACCTGAACTTGTGACTCCCCCACCCAGATCTTTTCCTTCCCAATATCACAGTTCTGAGCATATGGCACCACTATTTACCCAGTTAACCTAGGCCAAAAAAATCTTACAGTAATTCTAGACGTTTCTCTCTCATACTTGTCGTATAATTTGTCTACATTTAAAAGACATTCGGGGGGCACCTGGGTGGCTCAGTTAGTTGAGCATCCGATTTTGGCTCTGGTCATGATCTCGTGGTTCATGAGTTCAAGCCCCACATCAGGTTCTCTGCTGTCAGCACAGAGCCCACTTCAGGTCCTCTGTCCCTCTCTCTCTGCCCTTCCCCTGCTTGTGCTCTCTCAAAACTAAATAAAACATTGAAAAAAATACATTCAGAATCTGTGACCACTTTTCAACTCTGCTCCTCCCACCCTAGTCCGACCCACTGTATTTTTTCTGTATTTGTTTGGCCTGAACAACTGAGTAGTTTCTTAGTTGGCTTCCTGGCTTCTCACCCCTCTACAGTCTATTGTTCACATAGCAGCTAGTAATTTTCTGAAAATATGAGTCAGTCTTAGCAGTCTTTTGCCTCGGCTCTTTAGTGACTTCCTATCATATTTAGCATCTCTTAAACAGAATAAATTCTAGCCTTTTTAAAGTCTAAAGCTACAGGGGTGCCTGGGTGGCCCAGTCAGTTAAGCATCAGATTTTGGCTCGGGTCATGAGCTTGCCGATCCCGAGTTTGAGCCCCGTGCCCAGCCCTATGCTGACAGCTCAGAGCGTGGAGCCTATTTCAGATTTTGTGTCTCCCTCTCTCTCTCTCTACCCCTCCTCTGCTTGCACTCTGTCTCTCTCTGTCTCTCTCTCAAAAATAAATAAACATTAAAAAAAATTTTTTAAAACAAAAATAAATAAACATTAAAAAATAAATAAAGTCTAAAGCTGCATAAAACCCAAAGCAATCTATTTCTCTACTTGAGATCAAAACAAGTCTCTTTTTTCCTGTCTAAACATAATTCTTGGCATGGAGATAAATTGGAATTCACATGATATACTTTTTCAAACTTTTTCAAAAACTTTAAGCCCTGCTTTAGAGAGGAATTCTTATATTACACATACATATTTACATATTTTTTTCCTTCAAAGACTAATGACAAATGTATGAGGTTAATAGGCATGTAATGGGACCGTAATAGTACTAATAACATGAAAATAAAAAGCAGTTCATTTATAGGAAGTGTTCCTGTATGGTGCACTATGAAACGGGATCACAGAATCTATGTGCATACATGAATCACCAAAAGTTCAGAAACTAAGCTCACTTTAAGAAAATTCATTCTCTTGTTTAGAGCAGAGATCTCCAAGTCATGATGTATAACACACAAAAGCCAAGTATTAGCCTAAATTGGCAATAACTGCAACTTAAATTAAAACCTAAACACCTAGATCATTACTGTGGTTCTACAGCTTTTGCTCTGTGGCCTGCAGGTTTTATTGAGGTCACAACCTGTTATCTTTTGCCTCTCCTCCTTGTGCTCCCTGTCTCCAGCTTTTTATTGACCCTTCTCTGCTCTCTGACCTCATCCCTCTCCTCACTTCAGTACGGACCCATCAGACTTCTGACTGTCCAGCTCGGTGTATTGAAGCTATTCTGGACTTGGCACCTTCCCCTTAGAATATTTTTTTCACAAATATTTCATGGCTCACTCTCTCAGTTTGTTCAGCTGTCTGCTCAAATACGATCTCAGGCTTTTCCTGACCACTGTATTTAAAATAGCAGTCTCAAGGGGTGCCTGGGTGGCTCAATCGGTTAAGCATCTGACTTCGACTCAGGTCATGATCTCACAGTCCATGAGTTTAAGCCCCACATCAGGCTCTGTGCTAACAGCTCCAAGCCTGGAGTCTGCTTCGGATTCTGTGTCTCCCTCTCTCTTTGCCCCTCTGTCTCTCTGTCTCTCAAAAATGAATAAACGTTAAAAAAATTAAAATAACAGTCTCAGGGTTTTGTTTTGTTTTTTTCTTTATAGCACTTGGCTGATATTATCTATTTATTTGTTTATTGTCTGTCTTACCCTCTGGAACATAAGCTTCATGAGGAATTTGTCTTTTTTGCTGTTATATCCCTAGGAACTGACACATAATAAGTGCTCAATAAATGTTTGTGGACTGAATGAATCTCCATTCTCATATCAGTCATTTATTCAGCCTTTAGTCATGAATTACTACCATACACCCAACACTGTGTTAGAGGTACTGTGTTACTTAAAAAAGAGACATAATCCTTTGCCTTCAAAGAACTTTTTTGAGAGGAGGAAGGAGGAGATAAATATAAGATAAACACTGTATAAAAATGTATGATTATGAAGGATTTTGAAGAAAGGAATACCAAGAGGCCTAGTTTAATTTCCACATTGACTGAGTTGCCCACATTTTTTCCCGCTTTTGATTTCTAATTTCATTTCACTGTGGTTGCAAAACATATTTTGTTTTATATCTATTTTAATTTATTGAGATTTGTTTTATAGCCTAGGATATGGTGTATCCTGGAAAATTTTCCTTGTGCATGTGAGAAAAATGTGTATCGTGTTGGGTAAAGTGTTCTATAGATGCCCCTTAGGTCTAGTTGGTTTATACCGTATTTCAAGTCTTCTGTTTCCTTGTTGATCTTCTATCTAGTTGTTCTAACACTATTGGTGAAAGTGGGGTATTGAAATCTCCTCTGTTATTATTGAAGTGTCTATCTCTCTCTTCATGTCTGTCAGTTGTTGCTTCATGTATTTTGGTGCTCTGTTATTAGGTACATATATATTTATCATTGTTATATCTTCCTGATATAACAGGACCCCTTTATCATTATGAAATGTCCTTCTTTATTTCTAGTAACATTTTTTGCTTTAAAGTCTATTTTGTCTGCTATTAGCCATTCCAACTTTCTGGTGGTTGCTGTCTGCATAATTTATCTTTTTCCACCCATTTACTTTTCATTTGTCTGTATCTTTGAATTTCAAGTGATAAATACCATGTAGTTGGATCATTTTTTAAATTTTTTTTAACGTTTATTTATTTTTGAGACAGAGAGAGACAGAGCATGAAGGGGGGAGGGGCAGAGAGAGAAGGAGACACAGAATCGGAAGCAGGCTCC